TGTTGTACACAGGGTCTCTATGAGTCGCAAGCGACTGGACGGCACATAACAACAGGGATGGGTAGCCAATGGTTTCAATCAAGAACGGTGTGCGTCAAGGTGGTATTCTCCCACCAAACCAATGCAATCTGTGGGCTGAGCGGATCCCCAAGACACTGTACGATGGTGGCGTCGGCCTAGGACTGCAACCCACACCACTCTGCTCGCTCACTGCGGCGCCTAAGGCAAAGACTCATCAATTCACTGCTGCCTAATCCGAACCGACTGGACTGACGCTCCGCAGGTCTTCCGAAGCTCTAAGTTGCACATCCCTCTTCCGAAAGGCTGCTAGTGGATTCGAACCGTCGAAGCGGGGCCTTTGAGGCCACCAGGGCGCCGACCTTGGCAATGAGCCTCGGTTACCAAGAGCCTGGGACGCACGCGCCTCCCGCACGCGCCTCCCGCACGCGCCTCCCACGCACGCGCCTCCCACGCACGCGCCTCCCGCACGCGCCTCCCACGCACGCGCCTCCCGCACGCGCCTCCCACGCACGCGCCTCCCGCACGCGCCTCCCGCACGCGCCTCCGTAGCGGCTGGTCCTCCCCGCGCGCACGTTTCACTCCCCACCGCATCGCTCCCACCGAGCACAGGGGCTCATGAACCTCAGGCCGGGTTCCACCTGGACAGACCAGCCAAGGGCTCAGCAAGAGGCCGACACATCCTGGCCCGGGGCTGGGAACCAGGTGATCGGCTCGCCGTCGGGAGCTGGGCGGCCTCGCAGCGGCTGCCACCCCCGGCCCGCACCTACCTCGGCGTCGCGGTTGAGCCGGTACACGTAGAGCTGCGAAGTGCCGGCCACCACGAGGTTGCGCTCGCTGTTGCTGAAGAAGTTGCAGTACATGGAGAACTCCAGGCCGGTGGGAGGGTGCGCCTGTTTGTACACCGCGTACATGGCGCCGGGTCCAGGCTGCGCGGGACCGATAAAAGATGGCGAGCAGGGCAGCCGCAGAAGACCCAGCCCGAGAGCCCCACGGGCCCCTCGCCCTCACTTCCCTCACGCACGCCCACCTGGCCGGGGGAACCAGCGCCGAAGGGACCCGGAAGGCGGCCAGCGCGTCCCGGCGCACCCGGAAGCTGCGCACCAAGGTTCCGGCCACCAAGATTCCGGGAGCCTGCGCCTGCAAGTGTGACAGCGGCCCCTAGTGGCAGCATGCTGCAGCGCGGCCTCGCGGCTCCGCTCCCGCTCAGGGACAGGAGCCCGGGGAGCCGGCCGCCCGCAGCCTTGACCTACAGCCTGGAGCCAGGAGTCCATGCACAGGAGCCCGGGGAGCCGGCCGCCCGCAGCTTTGACCCTACAGCCTGGACGAGGAGCTCATGCCCAAAGCCAGCAGTCGTCAGGGAGCGAGCTTCCAACCGCGGACGGCCAGAAGAATAACCAAGTCTATCCACAGTCAACGCTCTAGGCACCAGTAGCCAGGAAATTAAAAGATGTTTTGCGATGGGAAAGTCCGCTGTTAGAGACCTCTCCAAAGTACTGAAGAGCAAGGGTGTCTCTCTGGAGACTAAGGTGCATCTGATACAGGCCATGGTCTTTGCTATCACTTGTTATGCATCAGAGAGTTGGACAATGACCAAGGAGGATAGAAGGAGAATTGATGCCTTTGAGCTGTGGTGCTGGAGAAGAGTATTGAGAGTACCATGAACTGCTAGGAAAACAAACAGATTCATCTGGAAAGGGTTAAACCAGGCGGGTTCCTGGAGGCAAGGATTCTGAGGCTCCGTCTAACATACTTTGGACATGTGAGAAGAGACCGGTCCTTGGAGAAGGATATCATGCTTGGGAGGTTGGGGGGACAGCACAGGAGGGGAAGGCCCTCTATGAGGTGGATTGATTCAGTGACTGGGGTAATCAGAATGGGAGTGTCAGAGACAGTGCGATTGACACAGGACAGAGCAGAGTTTAGGGCTGTTTAGGGCTATGAGGCGCGACTCCACGACACATAACAAAAACAACATCCTAAGATACATGCAATCAGAATGTTTTGTAGAGACGAAGATGGTGAAACTTCTTTGGGCATGTTGCCAGGATAGGCTAGTGCTTGGAAAAAGACATAACTCTGGGAAGGGTTGGAAGGTCACAGAGAGGAAGGCCCTCACAGGGTGGGTGGGTTGCAACAATGGGCTTAACAACAGTAGAGATTGTGAGGATGTCATAACAACAGTAGAGATTGTGAGGATGTCATAGGGTCCAAAAAGCTTTCTCTCAGGTGTAGATGGGAATCGCGACAAACTAGTCCACATGTGACTGCAAAAGAGACAAATACTGTACTGTCTCACTTACATGAAATAAGCAAATACATGGAAACTGGAGATTATTAATGGTACCGAATGGGAGTGACAGGCATGGGGAGTCTGTGAGCTTTGAGTTTTTGCTTGTGGTGATGGTGGAAAGCTTTGGTGGCCTCATGTGAAAAATGTCACAGTGGTTGAGTTGTAAACGTGAAAAATGTTGTTTTGGTGAATGTTTGAGTGTGTGTGCTTTCACTACAACAGAAAGAGAAATAAGTGGCTGCTTGTGTCAGCTGTAAAACCTTTGGCAAAATAAGAGATCAAGGTGGTATTTGTGATCAGATGTTGTGTGTATCATAATTAACATTATGGAACAAAATATGCATGCTTGATTGAGGAAAATATCCACACACAATAGCTTTGTAAACTTTTCCACAAAACATAATTTCAAATGGTAAAAACGTTAAAACCAAAGTGTTTTTTGTGGCAGGTGCAAACCTTGACAGAGCCACCAGGAGTTTTCCCAAAAAGTCACAACTTGACACTTTTGACTCACCTGCCAGACTCCACCAGCTAGCAAGTGTACTGATGAGACCAGCACAGAGGCCTGTGGTTTTTAGGTCCTTTCCCAGAGATACAGACAAACCTTAGACCCAGTTGTTACTCTGCCCTGTGGAAACTCCCTCTGGGGTTCTGAGGGTCCTCAGGCTGCCTGAGCAAGCTAGATCTTAGCACCATGTTAGTCATCCAGAGCAGATTCTGAAACAATCAGTCCTGTTTTCTAATTTGACCAGCGGATTTCTCCCCCTTCAATATATGCCAGAATTCACGTACTACTACAATCTGGATGGACCTGGAACACGTGGCACTGACTGAAATAAGCTAGATCCACCACCCCCTCCTCTGTTGACTTGACATGCCCAGAAGAGGTGAAGATCCCTAGGTGGAAAGTGGTGTGGCCACAGAGGCTGAAGTTTAGGCGAATGACTGCTTGTACAACATTGTGAAGCTGTGAAATGTAATGGATGGCAAATTTGCTATGTGCCTTTTACCACAATTAAGAGCCAGGATGGCCAAGCACAGAAGCACTATCGGGAGAGTCTGTGAGCTTTAGCAGTTGCAGCCATGAGGACTTTGGGGGCAGGAATGGAAATGGGTTCTCAGCCAGGACCAGATTCAAGGACGTGTCCTAGGAGTTAAGGTCTCAGATTGTAAGAGAGAGGGGATACTTGACTTTCATACTCAAGGGCCTACCTTAGCCTCCCTCCCATCTTTCACATTCCACCCTATGCCAACCTTGCCTTTTCCTCAACCTCACCTCTCCTCTTTCTACCCCAACCATTCCCCTTCCTCCCTTACCTCTGCCCCCCAGGTCCTCAGGCACTGGCCAGATGTCATTCTCCCAGCCCACTCCCAGCCCAACATTCTCAGCTGAATGAGCCCACCAGTCACACTATCAACACTCCTAGGCACAGGCCTCAACCTCATCTGACTGAACCATCCACAATGATCCAATGACCGAACTGTTCAAACGTCACAAAAAGGAGAATTCATACAAACTGTGACATAGCCACACAATGGATAACTTTTTAACGACAAAAATGAGTGATTTAAGGGAACTCTAGTGGCCTAGTGGCAAGAAGCTGCACTGCGATTCCGAAGGCAAGTGATTCGTGTCCACCAAATACTCTACTGGAGAGGGAAGGGCAATTTCCTCCTGTGACAGTTGGATCCGACTCCTCAGTACACAATAAGAGAGGAGGGGGGAAATAAAAGAATGATTTCTTGATGCTGAGTGAAAAAGCTAAATCTGTATCAAGCGAGGCTATCTACATGTTGTAGATTGCCTTCGAGTTGAGCACAACTCAGTGACCTTATGAAGGAAAGGTTTGAAGCCCCTCTACTACTATTGACATTTATCAGAGTTCACAGGATTTCCAGAAGCATGTTATTTAGGAAGTAGATGCTACTCCTACTTCCAATGTTGTTGTTGTTATGTGCCAACGCATAGTGACCCTATGTACAAGAGCCCTAAATGCCATTCCATCCTGTGCCAACCTCGCTGTCTCAAACACACTCATTCCCACCACTCCACTCACAGAATCGATCCATCTCATCGAGGGTCTTCCTCTCCTGAGCCGTCCCTCTAATCTCCCAAACATGTCCCTCTCCAAGGACCAGTCCCTCCTTGCAACATGCCCAAAGCATGTCAGATGAAGCTTCAGAATCTTTGACTCCAAAGAGCATTCCGCCTTCACCCTCTCCAGGACAAACCTGTTTGTTCTCTTAGCAGTCCATGGTATATTCAACACTCTTCTCCAGCACCACAGCTCAAAGGCATCAATTCTCTATCATCCCTATTCACTGTCCAACTCTTCGATGCATAGCACATAATTGCAAAGACTATAGCCTGGATCAGGTGCACCTTAGTCTCCAGCCTGACATCATTGTTCTTCAGTACTCTTGAGAGGTCCTGCACAGCTCACTTCCTCAATGCAATTCGTCTCTTGATCTCTTGGCTGCTGTTACCAAGAGTGTTGACTGTGGAACCAAGTAAACGAAAACTGTTAACTATCTCAATCTCTTCATCCATACTGATGCTGTCAATTGGCCCAGTGGTGAGAATCTGTTTTCTTTTCTTTTTTTTTTTTTTAAATATGGAACGCTTCATGAATTTGCGTGTCATCCTTGCACAGGGGCCATGCTAATCTTCTCTGTATCGTTCCAATTTTAGTATATGTGCTGCCGAAGCGAGCATGAGAATCTGTTTTCTTGATGTTGAGCTTCAATCCATATTGAAGGCTGCAGTCCTTGACCTTCTGCAGCAAGCGCTTCAGGTCCTCCTCAGTTTCAGCAAGCAGGGTTGTGTCATCTGCATAATGCAAGTTGTTGGTGAAACTTCCACCAATCCTAATGCCACATTCCTCCTCGTACAGGCCAGCATCTCGGATGATCAGTTCTGCATACAGATTGAAAAGGTATGGAGACAAAATACATCCCTGACGGATCCCCTTCTTGATTTTGAACCATGTAGTGTCTCCTTGCTCTGTTATGACGACTGCCTATTGGTCCAAGTATGTTGTTGTTGTTATGTGCCATCGAGTCGCTTGCAACTCATAGCAACCATATGTACAACAGCCCTAAATTCTGCTCTGTCCTGTGTCAATCGCACTGTCTCTGGTCTCTGATACACCCATTCCGATTACCCCAGTCACTGAATCAATCCACCTCAGAGTGGGCCTTCGCCTCCTGTGCTGTTCCTCCACCCTCCCAAGAATGATGTCCCTTTCCAAGGATCAGTTCCTCCTTACAACATGTCCAAAGTATGTTAGAGGGAGCCTCAGAATCCTTGCCTCCAGGGAGCTGCCCGGTTTAACCCTTTCCAGAATGAATCTGTTTGTTTTCCTAGCAGTCCATGGTACTCTCAATACTCTTCTCCAGCACCACAGCTCAAAGGCATCAATTCTCCTTTTATCCTCCTTAGTCATTGTCCAACTCTCTGATGCATAACAAGTGATAGCAAAGACCATGGCCTGTATTAGACACACCTTAGTCTCCTGAGAGACACCATTGCTCTTCAGTACTTTGAAGATATCCCTAACAGCAGACTTTCCCATGGCAATACACCTTTTAATTTCCTGGCTACTGGTACCAAGAGTGTTGAGTGTGGAGCCAAGCAAACTAAAGCTGTGAACAATCTCAATCTCTTCACCATCCATCCTGATGCTGCCAATTGGTCCAGTGGTGAGAATCTTTGTCTTCTTGATATTGAGCCTCAATCCATATTGGAGGCTGCAGTTCTTGACCCTCTGCAGTAAGTGTTTCAGGTCCTCCTCAGTTTCAGCAAGCAGGGTTGTGTCATCTGCATAACACAGATTGTTGATGAATCTTCCACCAATCCTGACACCACATTTCTCCTCACAGAGCCAAGCCTCCCAGATAATCTGTTCTTCATACAGGTTGAAAAGGTATGGAGACAGGACACATCCCTGGCGCACGCCTTTCCCAATTTTGAACCATGCAGTGTTTCCTTGCTCCGTTCTGATGACTGCCTCCTGGTCCAAGTACAGGCTTCACATTTTAGCACAATCAATTGTTCTGGGATTCCCATTCTTCTGAGTCAGTCACAGTTTGTTTTCATCCACACAGTCAAATGCCTTTGCATAGTCAATGAAACACAAGTAAGACATTCTTCTGGTATTCCCTGCTTTCAGCTAAGATCCATCTAACATTAGCTACAATATCCTTAGTACCATGACCCTTTCTAAACCCAGCCTGGACTTCTGGCAATTCTCTGCTGATGTGCTGTTCCAGTCGTTTTTTGATAATTTTCAGTAGAATCTTGCTTGCATGTGAAATGAATTATATTGTTCTATAGTCTCTACACTCTGTTGGGTCACCCTTCTTTGGGATGGGAACAAATATAGATCTCTTCCAGTCAGTTGGCCAAGTGGTTGTTCTCCAGATTTCTTTGCACAACTTGGTTAGCACATCCAAGGCAGCATCTCTTAGCTGAAATATGTCAATTGGTATAAAATCTATTCCTGGGTCCTTATTTTTTGCTATTTCCTTCATAGCAGCCTGAACATCTTCCTTCATCACCATAGGCTCTTTCTCACATGTTGTTTCATTAAATTCTTCTGTGTCTGCCAATTCCTTTTGATACAGTGACTCAGTATATTCTTTCCATCAAGCATAGGTTTCACATTAGCACAATCAAATGTTCTGGGATTCCCATTCTTCTCAGAGTCAGCCATAGCTGTGATCCACATAGTCAAAAGCCTCTGCATAGTCAATGAAGCACAGATAGACATTCTTCTGGTATGTTCTGCTTTCTGCCAAGATCCATCTAACATTAGCTATAATATCCCTAGTACCATGACCTCTTTTAAATCCAGCCTGCACATCTGGCAGTTCTCTGTTGACATATTGTTCCAAACTTTTTTCGATAATTTTCATCAGAATCTTACTTGCATTTGATATTAATGATATTGTTTGATAATTTCCACACTCTGTTGGATAACCTTTCTTTGGAATGGGAACAAATATTGATCTTTTCCAGTCAGTTGGCCAGCTGTCTGTCCTCCAGATTTCCTGGCACAACTTAGTGAGCACATCCAGGGCAGCGTATGTTTGTTGAAATAAATCAATTGGTATGCTGTCAACTTCTGGAGACTTGTTTTTTGGCAATTCCTTCAGAGTAACTTGAACTTCCTCCTTCATAACCATAGGCTCTTGCTCATATGTTATTTCATGAAATTCCTTCTGATACAGTGACTCTGTGTACTCCTTCCATCTTCTTTTGATGCTTCCTGGATCATTTAACATTCTACCCAAGTATCCTTAAGTATTTCCACCCGTGGCTTGAATTTGTTTTTCAACTCCTTCAGCTTAACAAATGCTGAGTGAGTTCAGCCCTTTTGATTTTCTGACTCCAGCTCTCTGCACATTCATTATAGTATCTTGCTTTGTTGTCCTGGGCTGCCTTTTGAAATTATCTGTTCAGCTCTTTGATTTCCTGGTGTCTTCCTTTAGTTTTGGCTTCTTGGTGCACTAATGCAATACTCAGAGTCTCAGCTGACATCCATTTTGATCTTTTTTTCTTTTCAGCCTTTGTAATGATCTTTTGCATTCTTCATGGACGATTTTGTTGATATCCTCCCAGAGCTCATTTGGTCTACGCTCCTTGATGTTCAAAGCCTCAAACCTGTTCCTGAGATGGTTTTGAAATTCAAGTGGGACAGACTTAAGGTCAAATTTTGGTTCCCGTGGACTTGATTTAATTTTCTTCAACGTCAGCTTGAACTTGCATATGAGTAGTTGGTGGTCTTTCCCACAGTCAGCACCCAGCCTGGCTTTCACTGCTGTTACTGAGCTTCTCCAGTGAGTCTTTCCACAAATGTAATCGATTTGATTCCTATGCATACCATCAGGTGAGATCCATGTGTATAGCCTGCGTTTATGTTTCTTATAAAAGGTATTTTCAATGAATAAATCATTGAATATGCAGAACTCTATCATTCTATCTCCAGCCTCATTTCTCTCCCCGAGACCATGTTTTCCAGCTACTGATCCTTCTTCTGTTCCCAACTTTTGCATTCCAGTCACCCATTATTATCAATGCATCTTGATTGCATGTTTGATCAATTTCTGACTGCAAAAGTTGGTAGAAATCTTCCATTTCCTCCTCTTTGGCTCTAGTTGTTGGTGCATATATTTGAATGATAGTGGTATTCACTGGACTTCTTTGTATGCATATGGATATTATCCTGTCGCTCATCACATTATATTTCAGGATGGATCTAGAAATGACTTTTTAAATTATGAAACCAACCCCATTTTTTTCCTCACAATTTTCATCCCTGGCATAGAACACCTAAATCCACCTAAAGGTAGTGGACTGGAGGGGGAGTGGTCAGTGGGTGAGCAAGAGGCTTCCTTTTGCCCACCTGCCCAGCACAACCTTGTGAGTGCCACACATAGGGAAACGTTCACCTGCAGTGGTCCTGTTTGTTGTGTCAATTTCTTATCAGTAAAAACACAGGGGGATAAAGAAGTCTGTCCAAGTCAACTTGCTGGAAGTCCTGCTTAGAAGCCACGGGTCCTTAGCCAGCTATTTGTCCCACTGCCTTACCTCCAGACAGTCAGCACCTACTTCCAGTTCTCTCATGTGCCAAGGGGACATCCACCTGGTGACATCTTAAAGTGACTACTGATGCAGTGAAGAGCCCTACGTAATGCTGTTTTGTGAGGAAGTCACCAGAGAGGAGATAAAAGCAGAAAGCCCAAGTGTGTAAGTTTTGTACATTAGCCCCCCCAGGTTGTAAGAGGCCCAGGCTCCATGGAGGACCAGACCTAGGATCTCTGGTCCACACCTTGTCCTTTGTAAGAAAAATGTGGTTTTCCATTTGTGACCATGCGCAGGAGGGAGCAGACAGAGCTAAGTCTCCCTTCTCCATGTCCATCTGTGGGAGTTTCAGGACAAGACAAGTGTTGGACCCAGTGGACTCAGAAATGGAGAGGAAGGGGGTCAGGAAGGACTAGGTAGGAACTAAAGAGAGGAGGGGGCACAGGAGGGTTGACTTTGGAAAGGTGAGTTTGGTTGGCTTCTAGGGCTCTTGCTGACCCCTCGAGGCCCCTGCTCCCCAAACCAACTACATTCTCCTTCAGCTCTGCAGCTTGGGCCCCATAGCTCCTGGATGATGCTACTGAAGCCCTACCCCTGGGCCTACTATTGTCCCCACCACCCTGGTAGGCAGCTAAGATTTCTGCACAGCAACTCGTACTCAGCCAGGTCTGTGTATTTAGGGGTGTGTGATGTCCTCGAGCTTTAAGACCTCTCAAGCATGACCCTTCCTACCTGACTGTGCCAACCCTTCTAGAACAGATGGACCCAAAGCCTTGTCTGAGGCTGGTCTCTGGCTTCTCTAGTCACACGCCCACTTTTGCCCTTACCATTTATGCTAATTCCTCTTATCTCTTGTCTGGACAGCATGTGCAATGGACAGAGCTCTGGGGACCGTTTCGGATCATGAAGGGTGATGGAGGCTGAATTGCGTCTCTCAGAAATAAATGTACAAATCCTACAACCCCAGCAGCTCAGAATGTGGCTTTATTGATCAATTGGTCTTTTACTCATAGATGAGTTGTGGGAGCTAACAGCTGAGAACAAGAGAACCGAGTCAGTCTGCCAGGACAGAGCTCAGGGGGCGGCCTCTTCACCTTCTCCAGGCCTGAAACCAAGCTGCACTAAGGCCAAGAGTTTGTTTATTTCTAGAAACTAGGAGAAAGAGCTAGAGTGCTCCCCAAGACCACCAGGCTAGCAATGTGGCAGGGTCCGAGGAGGCCAGGGCTGGGGTCAGAGGGTGATGCTGTCCTCGTATATGGAGAGCAGCAACAAGCAGGCCCAGCTGCTCAGCAGACCCACGTTATGCAGCAAGAAGAGGAGGCCAGGCCGGTCATCCTGCACGTGCATCATGGACGGGAGCTGGGGACGGACGGGTGGGCCGTTCAGCGTCAGCTCCGCCCTGCCAGCCCTCCACCCCTGCGGGCTGCCCGCTCCTCACCAAGTCACAGAGTGCCACGTAAAGGAAGAGGCCAGTGGCCACCGCCAGGATCCAAGCGTGACTGTCCTCACTGACCCCAAACGCGAGCGCCACATAGAGGCCAGCAAAGGCGGTGAGCGAGGACGCCAGGTTCAGCAGCAGCGCTCGGCTTACGCACAGCCCAGAGTGCAGAAGGGCCGCAAAGTCGCCTAGAGGCCACAGGCCACATGTCCAGAGGAACAGCTTCTTCTGCTACGACAGGCCCCGCCCACGTGGAGGCCCCCCGCCCCACCCATGGCCCTCCTGTTGCGGGTCCCGACCAACCAAGTAAAGCCCCGCCTACTCCACGACCCTCCTGTGTTCGGCCCGCCCGCCTACGTGTCAGCCCCGCCCACGTGCAGCCCCGCCCACTCCAGGACCCTCCTGTGTTCGGCCCGCCCGCCTACGTGTCAGCCCCGCCCACTCCAGGACCCTCCTGGTTGTCTGCCCCGCCCACCTCACAGAAGGTCCCGCCCCATAGACACACCCCGTTCCCACAGGCCCCACCCACTCTGATAGCCCCTCCCACGGCACGTCCTTTGTGCCCCCTACTACGCGTCACCTCACACACAGCCTTACCCAGTTCATGTGGCAGCTCGTGGAGAAATACTGCCAATGAGGTGGCCAGCCCGATCTTCCAGGAGGACGAGAAGGCAGCGCCCAGGGCAAGCCCATCAGCAAAGTTGTGCACTGCGTCTCCCAGTGTGATCTTGTAGGGCAGCAGCCGGAGGTCTGTAGAGACCCCCCCGGCATGGGCAGGCTGGACAGGCGGCCCTCGGTTCAGGCCGCACCAAGCCACTACTGCCCCCCAGTGCTTACTTACCTGGGCTCATTTTCTGGCGTCTATCTCTCAGTAAGTCCGGGCTCTCAACAGTTACCTGTGAAGGCCAATGTGGATGAGCCTCAGATAGGGTGGGGAACTCTGTGGCCAGAGCTGCACTGGAGGCCAGGGGCTGAGGAGTGGGGTGGGGCCAGCTCACCAGGTCAGCCCTTGAGCCCTCCTGGGACTGCAAGGTAGTCTGCAGCTGGCTGGACCTCAACTGCAGGGACATGCTGTGGCCATGGTTGCAGGGTGTGCTGGGGTCCTGTGTGGGGACAGCTACTCACTCGGCCCTTGATGTCCTGCCCCTCAGTGCTCTGCCCCTACCCACCTGTCTGCTCTCCCCTCTTGTCCACTCTCCCCACCGCTTGTCCACCCTCCCAATCACATGCTGGGTCCGCCAGTTGGGGCCTTCACCTCTGGGTCTCGAGGCAGCAGTAGGTTACAGAAACCCTCGAACAGGAAGAGGAAATACAAACCACCAAGTACAGCCAGGAGCTGCCAGGTGGGCTGGTGACTCTGAGTGCCGTGACTGTGGTCACTGTCATGGCTGTGCAGCCCCAGCACCTGAAGGACCAGGCACTGGGTCAAGCCAGCACTGACACCCCTGTCCCCACCTAGGAAGAGCATGCCCCAGGAGGTGTGCACTGGGGAGATGTGGGAAGAGGGGAGGCCAGTGAGGCAGGTGTTGTGGGCCAGGACTACCTGAGGAATCAGGTGCAGGATGGCATCACCAGTGAGCGCACCGACGGCCATGCTGAGGAAGAGCTGGATGCTGTAGTGGGTGACCAGGGAACAACCTTTGCAGGCCAGGAGAGTGACGCCCAGCAGTGAAAGCAGGCAGATAAGCAGGGTAGTCAGAGAGCCGTACAGGTACTCTGAAAGGGACAGTCCAGGAAGAACTGGCAGCTGATCAGCTGTGTCCTTCCCCACTGGAGTGCAGCTCCCACTGACCTTTTTGCCCTCTCCTACTCTCTAGAGCCCCATCCTACCCCAGCCCAGGGCTCCTGACCCCCTCTTACAGCCTAGCATCCTCCACACACCCCCTTCTTCTGAGTGGACCCTACTCCCCACACTACCAGCACCCCAGCCTCTCACTCACTCTCTGCCTGACTGAGCTGTTGGTTCTGGGTGGGGGTCTCCTCGTGGGAGCTGCAGGCCCCACTCAGTTGCTGTTGTACCAGGGCAGGAGTGAGCCGAGCCCAGGCTTCAGGGTCCACCCCAGCCTCCTCTGATATCCCATACACGGTCATCACGTCCCTGGGGCTCAGGCACAACTGGGGGCAAACAGTATGGGTGTGAGGGGCTAAGTAGAGCTGAGGCTACCTCCCAAGACCTTGTCCAGGGTGCTCACCGTATCCCACACACTGGAGGAGGTGGTATTGGGCGTGGTGGCCAGGGCCACAGGGTGCGTGTGGCCGTGGCCACCATCGTCTTCATGGTCATCATGGTTGGCATGACCCAGAGGCTCCGCCTCTCCGCCCACCTTTAAGCGCTGCATCAAGGTGGCCAGCTCTGGTAAGAGGACAGAGCCATTGGCCCCCATGCATCAATGTGGGCCAGCCATGTCCTCTAGAAGGGACTGAGGATAGGAGACCCATCAGCTAGGGCCCCCTTATCCCTTCCTGCATGCCCACTAGCCTTATGCCACTCCCTGTTTTGGCCAGGCCTCACCAGACAGTGTGAGATTGGGACCCTCGCCAATGTGCTGCCGGAAGACGAAGTCCATGAAGTAGTCAGGGGTGGGTAGGCCACTGAAGCAGGCCCCCCCCTGCACATGGTCCATGAGGGCAGCCAGGGCTGTACCAGGACCACGGGGACCTGCTGCCGCCTCCTTCAACAGCTGAGGCACGTCCACACAGGCCTGGGGGGACACCAGTCCTCAGGGGGTCAGGCCCCAGACTCCCACCTGGTCAGACCTCTTATAGGGTCTATACTTCCTCCCACCCTACCCAGACTGACCCCCCCGTCCCAGCATTGTCTCACACCTCAGCCTGATTTCTCACCCCAAGCCTGACCTTCAACACAACCTGGTGTCTCACCCTAATCTGACCCTCATCCAGGCTTATCGCCCCAGCCTCACCCTTTACCCCACCCAGACCTCTCACCCAAACCAGACTCCCTACCACAGCCTGGCCCAAACACCTCAGGATTCCCGATTTCCCCCCTAGTTTCAGAGCCATCCCTGCCCAGAACCAGCCCTCGCATGTCCTTCTCCAGAGCCTCCCTCAGGCCCTGGGAGTCTCCAGAGTGCTGGTGGCAGCCACTTCCGGTCACGGCCCTTCCTCTCCTTCGCTGCCCTAAAGGCTTGCCTTCCTCTCTGTGGACCTGGAGTCCGCCTGGGCTGGGATTCTTTGGAGAAGCCGGCTCAAGCCCAGGATCAAGGCCTTGGGGTCCTCAAGCTTGGCCAGCAATTGGTCGGCTCGGGCGCCCCAGTGGCCAGCTTGAATGTCTGCACATGTGCCGTTGGGGTCGCCAAGATAGAGGGCAGCGGCTGCACTGAGGCGGGCAATGTCCCCAGCACGCAGGACAGGCCCCGGGGGGAACCCCGGTTTCTGAGGCCAGCCCAGGGACAGGATGTTGTCCATGGTCAGACACTGTAGGAAGAGGGGAGGGAAGCTGGGGCCCAGGGCCATAGGAGCACCTCCTTCACCCCCACGCTCCCCTCCACACCACCATGGCACAGGGGTCGGCCTGCTCATACACCCACTCATCCCTGATTCCTCCAAAACACAGTCAGAGAGGACCTCCAGGGAGACCTATGTCCTTCAGCTGTGTGCCCCCTCCAGGCCTGGACCCTGTTGCCGCCCCCTGGAGGTGGCCCAGGGCCTTTACTGTCTGTTGGCCACTCTGGGGGAGGAGGCGGTCCTGGGCCTCTAGGCAGTTACCTTTCCACACGGCCCCGAGGAGCAGTGCACACGGTCCGCTAGCGTATTTAACAGGCTGCTCAGCACGGCTTGGTCCAGAGTGCCTCCTCTCGACATGAGCACCGGCAGCAGGCCAGTGGGGGTAGCCACTATCCCAGCCACCAGCACCGTGGCCAGGAGCAGCCCCAGGTCAAGCTGGGCCAGTGGAGCCATGTGAAGACCAGGGACGTGGAGCTATGGACAGAGCAGCTGCGACCACGAGGGCGTCTGGGGCCAGACTGGGGCCCGCCCGAGGGACCCGCCCGGCTCCTGCACAAGACCTCTCCCAGGTATTTCTGCGGGCTCCTGTGATTGGCTGCCAGCGGCTGCAGATTAGCTGTTCCAGAGACAGATCCTCCCAGATATTGTAGAAGAGCCTGAGGGCCCCTCCACCTCCCAGGGGCTTGGGGTTTCCCTTCCATAGCCCTGGCTCTGGGGCTGCTTTATGCTGGGGTTCTGGGGACAGAGGAGGAGTGCCATCGTAGTCACAGGGCCCAGAGTCACATCCAGCCCTCTGCTTCTCCCTTCCCCACAGAACCCTTAGGCAGGGGCAGCTCTGGATCTTTGGGCCACAGACGGGGTGGGGAGTGGAGGATGTCTCCAGTCTGGAAGGGGTGGAATGAATGGATAATTCCTCGGGGGCTCAGACCCCCTCCCCTATTCTATCTGGGTAAATTCCCAGAAAATAAACTGGAAATGAAGCTGAACTGGAGCCTCCCACCTGTGAGCAGAGCTTCTTGGGACCAGGATTAGGCTTCTGAGTCCCCTAGGGGAGGGCTGGGTTGGCCCCAGCTGCCTGATCATGCCTTGGCCTTTGCACTCTGAAGTCTTATCGCTGTTGCTGAGTTGCTCCTGGCTGGCAGAGGGACTGATCCACCCCCTATCCATAGAACTCTGCCCTGACAGCCCAACTTCTGACCCCTGGTCAGTCTGAGGACAGCAGGTGATTTCACATGGCTGCCCTGCCATGGTTTAGCCAAGCCCTGATCCCAAGTCCTGTGGCATCCAAGCCTGGACGTGCTCATACACTATGGAGTTGGAGGACTCTGGCCTCTGGGCCCGTGCCAGATGTGTGGCAGGGCAGCCACTCAGAAGGACTTCGAGGACCTGGGTTTCCTGAAGGCAAATGGGCTATAGGTCCCCAGGACATGGGTGTGCACACCGGGCCAGCCTGCACACAGACTGGACTCACAATGGTCCCTCTGGCCAGGAGCAAGGCAGCTTGACATCTGGGATCCCAGGGGAGCTGGAGAGGGGACACCTGTCCCAGAGGTTTGGAGGGTGGCTGTGCTCGATGTAGCAGGATACTAGAGAGATGAAAGACAGATCTCCATCTGGCTGCAGCCTCTGGCTACCCCCACTATGGAGCTTTTCATCAAGGTCTCAGCCTTCTAGCTGGTCCTGATTGGCCACAACCCCTCAACTTCATGTCCCCACTCCCCTGCCCTCCCCCTTCTTTGGTCGCCAGCCCATTGCAATCTTACCCAGGGCCCAAAGCTAGCCTTTGGTCCTGGGCCTTGGATTTTCTTTTGTGCATCTCCACATCCGTGTCCACTCCTATCAATCATCCCTCAGTGCCTGAAGTCTTCTCATCTCAAAAGCAGCGGCACCTCAGGCCTGGACCCCTCTCTGCACCTCAGACAGCAGATCCATTCGTTATACTCTTTTTGTCTACTTGAATTTGTTCTTATTTTTTTTAAAAAAAAAAAATAGGAAAAATGCGGGAATAGAGAGGGAAATAACCCCTATACACTATGAATTGGAAGCAAGACTTGGTTGTAGCCCCCTACTCACAAACTCAGCTCTCCAAGATGTTCCCACACACCCAATTTTCTTTTAAACAAAACACCCATACCAGCAACATAGGTATCTAGGATAGTGACTGAGATTTTTAACTGAACACTGGGAATGGAAGGGGGAAAGGGGAAGAAATGAGGGAGAGGCTCTAGTCTGGACAGAGTTGGGCAGCAAGAGAATTGAGCCCATATAGCTCACAGCTGCCAGGATCCCAGAGTGGCCCACAGTTTGCTCTGTAGTAAATCCTTTATTCCCCAAAGGCTTCGCAGCCCTGACTCCAAGTCCTCCCGCTCCTCTTCCAGTGTCCTCCTCCTTCCAGCTGCTCTTAGTTAGGCTGACTGATCTCCCAGACTGGATACGCTGCTGCTGTCCTCCCACTGTTGAAGTTTCTTCTTCAGGTTCTTTATCTTTTTGGCTTTCTCAGTGGGGGCAGCTAAGTCAGACTGGTCAGAGGCAGATGTTGGGAGGGCTCAAGAGACCTGCAGAGGTGAACCGTCTCTCCCAGGGACACCTTTTCAAGAGTCCAGCTCATGGCCTCTCCCATCTCGTGTTGCTGTCGCCTCTTTTCTTTTTTCTTCAGGTGGTGTTTGGCTATCTTAGGGAGACCTGATTCACCACCTTCAGGCCTGGATGAGGTGGGGAGAGCTGTGGCCTCAGGACTCAGCCCTGGAAGCAGATCTGGTTTACTCTTGAAAAACTTCATATATCTGTTCTTATATTGGACCTCCTCTTGCGGCACATAGCGTTCTTTCACCCTCCGCTGCTTTTGCCAGGTCCCATCAGGTCACTGTGTTAAAACAATGTACTTGCCATTATGTTGGTATCGTCAGTGCACACAAATGTCAACCTGTCCCCAAGCCTTCTAGTTGCTGGAACCTTCCATGGTGTAGGAACCTATCCATTATGCTCTTCTTAAGAGGATGCTTGTCTCCTGTGATCTCTTTCTGAACTCTGGCCTCAAGTCTAGTCACTACACAAGGACCTTGACAGTTGCCCTCAGATATCACACTTCCACGGCAGCCCTACCCTTCCCAGGTGCTCAGGTATTGCAACTGACAAAGTAATGGAAAGCTAACCTTTTACAAACACCCTGTAACTAACATGAAGCTGTTGTTATGTGCCCTCGAGTCACCTAAAACCCATAGTGACCCTATGGACAACAACTCTAAAGCCTACCTTGTCCTGAGCCAATCTCACTGACTCCAAAACACCTACCCTCACTGTTCCAGTTTCTGTATCAATCCATTTCATCTGGGGTCTTCCTCGCCTGTGTCTTGAAGCTAATTCGTTGTAATACCTTGAACAGAAGGACTGTTGTGAAACTAGTGTACTCCATAATAGGGGAGACTTCTGTATTTATTCCCATTCCAAAAAAAGGTGACCCAACAGAGTGGAAATTATCGAACGATATCACTAATATCACACACAAGCAAGAGCCTGCTGAAGATTATCCAGAAACAACTAGAACAGTACATCAGCAGAGAACCGGCAGATATGCAGGCCGAGTTTAGAAGAAGTCGTGGCACTAGGAACATTGTCTATCTGTGTTCCATTGACTATGCCAAGGCATTTGACTTTGTGGATAACAACAAATTGTGGCTAACCTTGGGAAGAATGGGGATCCCAGAACACTTAATTGTGCTCATGTGAAACCTATACTTGAACCAGGAAGCAGTACTCAGAACAGTACAGGGAAACACTACATGGTTCAAGATCAGGAAAGGGATGCATCAGGGATGCATCTTATCTCCATACTTTTTCAATCTATATACATAATAGATCATTTGGGAGGCTGACCTTTATGAGGCGGAATGTGGCATTAGGATTGGAGGAAGACTCATCAACAACCTGCGTTATGCAGATGACACAACCTTATTTGCTGAAACTAGAGAGGACATGAGGCATTTGCTCCAGAATGTCAAGGACTGTAGTCTTCAATATGGGTTGAAGCTCAACATAAAAAAAACCCAAAGATTTTCACCACTGGGCCAATTAGCAGCTTCAGGATGGATGGAGAGGAGATTAAGACTGTTGATAACTTCAACTTGCTTGGTTCTACAATCAACACTCGACACCATCAGTCAGAAAATAAAGATTAACTGCATTGTCAAGTGTGGTGTCAGGGACCTCTCCAGAGTACTGAAAAGCAATGATGTCAGTCTGGAGACGAAGGTGCACCTGATCCAGGCCATCATCTTCGCAATTACTTGCTGTACATCTGAAAGCTAGACAATAACTAAGGATGATAGAAGAAGGATTGATACCTTTAAGTTGTGCTGGAGAAGAGTGTTGAACTTACGACGGACTGCCAGGATAACAAGCAGGTCTTCCCTGGAGAGGGTGAAACTGGACTGTTCCCTGGAGACAAGGATTTTGAGGCTCCATCTCACATACTTTGGGCACGTGGCCAGCAGGGACTAGTCATGGAGAGGGACATCATGCTTGGAAGGATGGAGGGACTGCACAGGAGAGGAAGACCCAGGATGAGATGGACTGACTCAGTGACTGGGGAAATGGGATTAAATCTGTTAGAGATGATGAGATTGGGTTAGGATAGTGCAAGTTTCAGAGCTAATGTATGTAGGGTTGCTATGAGTCGCAGGTGACTTGATGGCACATGATGACAACAACAACAAACAGAAGACTGTTGTTGTGTACCATCAATGAGTAAGAATGACAGAATAAGAAGTGATGCCTTTGAACTGTGGTGCTAGAGAAGAGTGTCAAAGATCTCATGGATTGCCAAGAAAACAAACATATGTCTTAGAGAAGGTGCAGCCAGAGTCCTCCTTGGAGGCAAAGATGATGCAGATTCACCTCACATACATTGGGCAGGTTGATAGGAGAGGAACATCATACTTGGAAAGGTAGAGAGGTGGCAAAAGAGAAGGAGACCCTCGACTAGGTGGGTTGACATGGTGACTGTGGAAATGGGCTATAGTGTGTCAGGAAGTGTGAGGATGGTGCAGGACAGGAATAGGTTCAGATCTTTTGTTCATAGGGTCATACTTGCTGGCACTTAACAACAACAATCCTCTCCCATAGTACTCTGGACTAACAGAAGACAGTTGTTATATATCACCAGAACTGACCCATAGCTGACCCTCAGGCTGGTTTTTCAGAAGGAGGGAATTGGATGGGAGGAGGTGGCCCATCGTACTTCTGTGGAGTGTTTGATTGGTCTACCTTTGCATCAACAGCTCAGCTCCTCACCACTAGACAACCAGATTGTCAATCTTTGATCATTGCCATTCAATGCCTCAAAACTATTCTTAAGATGATTTTGAAGTTCAGGTGGAATTGATTCAAGATTATATCTTGATTCCTGTGGATTTATTTCAACTTTCTTTGGCCTCAATTTGAACTTGTCTCTGAGT